CCTCTGACTCTCACTGCCCTCTGACAAAGGTTGCTGACATGTGAGCCCACGAGCTATGGGACCCACATGTCAACCGCTCAAGCAATAAGTTAGAGGATCTATTTCCCATATATTGATGGAGATGATAGCAGTAATAATGGATTTGTAAAATTTAACGGTCCAATTTGCATTTTGTTCCGGCCAGTCCCAACACACTCTTGATAGTGTAGCGGTAAGTGTGTGGTTTCAACCTCAAGGTTCCATGTTCGATCATCAACACGCTTATAACTTTTTTCTTTAAAATATATTCGGATGGATATCTTTCCCTTCAAATCTCTTTTTATTTGTTCTGAGCCCCAAATTTCTGGAGACGGTGATAAACTCCAGAGTCCGTATATATGATAAGCTGTGTGCGGTTTTGTCGTTAGTCTCTTCTCGTGGGCAGTTGAGCACCATTTGCATGGATATGTTGTGTACCATTTGGATTTTTTTTAATGACTCGCACAAGACGGTGCGAAGTTCTATTGATATAGCAGAAGAAAAATTACAGGATTACAATCCTGAAAGGTTAGTAACCAGAAAAAAAGAAAAAAAAAGTATACCACAACCCACACACCGACAGCGCCAGCACACTATACCAGGAGAAGGCTAGCACGGCCGCCGCTAAGCGTGACCGACCGCCGCTAGGCCAACAAAAGAACACGACTAAGATCGCCCAAAACCTAACCCTGATGAGGACATCCTCCACAATTACCCGCTGGCAAAGACGCCAAAGTCGGGTGGCGACCGTGTGAGCCTCTAAATAATCCCATCTTGCTTAGCTTGGGAAGAGGAAGTCACCTTAAAAAGGGAGAGCCACCCTTCCCCTATCGGACTAGTTTTCTAGGGAGATTAGGCCTTTCCCCAAGTGGGTGTGCCTATGAACTGTTGGGGTCTAGGCAACCTTAAGTTATTGGGCCTCGGCCAACCCCACCTGGGCCGGATCGTTACCATTTGGTATCAGAGCTGGGCCCTTGTTAAGGGGGTGGAAATAATGAGGACATCCTCCACTATTATGCGCTGGCAAAGACACCAAAGTCGGACGACGACCGTGTGAGCCTCTGAATAATCCCACCTTGCTTAGCTTGGGAGGAGGAAGCCACCTTAAAAAGAAGAGCCACCCTTCCCCTATCGGACTAGTCCTCCTCCTTAAAAAGGAGAGCCACCCTTCCCCTATCGGACTAGTCTTTTAGGGAGATTGGGCCTTTCCCCGAGTGGGTGTGCCTATGAACTGTTGGGGTCCGGGCAACTTTAAGTTATTGGGCCTCGGCCAACCCTACCTGGGCCAGATCGTTATCAAACCCTTACAATCAACACAAGCCTCACTCTATCCAAGCCATCAGGAGTTAGGGAGAGAGGGTGAGAGAGAAGAATGGAACTCCTCTTCCCCTAGGTCCTCCGACGTGAGGGTGAGAGAGAAGAATGGAACTCCTCTTCCCCTAGGTCCTCCGACGTAGCCAATTTGTAGAGACTAGGACGCTGCCACAAGAGGATGAAATCTAGAGTAAGCTTGTAGAGACTAGGACGCTGCCACAAGAGGATGAAATCTAGAGTAAGCTTGCACCAATTGGTTGTGTGGTTTCGGCTAGGAGATGCATAAATGCGTCTCCAAGGAGATAAGTCACGGAGAACACCGCCGCCGCCATCCGTCAAGGCCTCGAAAGAGCTGAGACTGGGCTTTCGCCCGGCATCCACGCATGAGGGATGAGATGACGGCACGACAACGTCCTCAGGAGGGGCATGACGCTTCAAGCGTCATCGTTGCCGACCTGGTCGAGGCCGGGCTGGGTTTTCACCCGCCGCTCACCACCTGCGAATCCACGACTAACGCCGCAAAGCTCCACCACCGTCCAACCTCTGCCGACATGTGGGACCACTGCACCGGCGTCCCCCGCCGGCCAGCCTTCGTGCACCGTAGACCGCACCGCACCCACCGGCAGCTCCTCCTCCTCCTCGAACCGTGCCCGCCTCCGTCACCTCTGGTCGCGCCTCCACGCGCCATACCGGCCTCCACCGCCGGCCGCACTGAGTGACTCTTTCGACAAAATAAAACTCGAATTCATATAGGACTTGTAATTTTTCATCTTACTCACATACGGAGTAGCACTGAGTGACTCTTTCGAGAAAATAAAAATATGGATCATTACGGCATGTATACCTACTACAATTCTACAATTACAAACTCTCTTTATCTAAAAATAAAACAATTCATAGCATCTAGAAAATAATTAGTGCATTAGTAAGTAGGAAGAGAAAAGGCCAAAATATCCCTCAATATAGAAAAATAGTATTGGTGGTGGTTCGTTGGAAGTATTAAACGGATAAAATTTCGCTATTTACCAATCGATGGCAGGTAAAAAAAGAATAATTAATTTGTTTTGAGACAAAATTTAAACTCTAGTAATAGATCTATTGTCGACAGAGGAATAGCCATGTAGACTGTAGACCTGGGTGGACTAGCGTGGTTTTGCAGTCGACTGCGCGTGGCACAGTGGCAGAGGCTCAATCGTGGTTACGGCCCAATCAGCCAGCGTTCATTTCTCCAACATGGTCACTAGTCCCATGGAGACATGGAATTATATTGATTAAGTCTAATTTACCTCCCTTAACTATTACCCGTGGTCCAATCACATCCCTCAACCGCAAAACTGGCATAGCGCATCGTCTAACTTCGAAAACCGGTGCAAATACACTCCTTTGGTGGTTTGGAAGGTGGTTTCTCCTGACATGGCAGGTTGACCATAGTCAAACTCACTGATGTGTAAACATAGGATCACATGTGAGTGACAAAGAAAAAATAAAAAAAAACTGTAGGACCCACGTTGTTAGCTACTCAGCTCCACTCTTCTTCTTCCGTCCCTTTCTTCTCTTTTTTTTCCCAACCAAGCTGACCAATGCGAGGTTGGACAATGAGCCTCTCCGAGCTCGAGGAAGAGATAGGATAGAAAGAGATGGCGATGGTTCCCATGGCGGGGGTTCACCTTGGCTCCCACGGCATGGAAGCTTAGCGATAGCATGCTCTTTGAGGCTCGCCGGGGATGACGGTCGAAGTCTCAAAGAGCTTGTAGGTGGTGGCAACGACATGGAGGTGGTCAACGGGGAGGACGAGCGCAGAACGGCAAAGCACGATGACAGGGTTGAATGGGAAGCGGTCGGTGTTGGCAGCAGCATGGGCAAAGGTCGGCGGGTGGGATGAGGGAAGAGAGGTGGGACGCCTCTTCGTCCCCTCATCGAGCTTGTGGCCTTCACTGGCCGGAGCAACGCAGCTTTGTGGCATATTAGAGGCCACCGTCACGGAGCTGCTTCTGCACCACCAGCGTCATCGCTAAGCCACCTTCCCATGAAGTCGAGCACGTCCTGCATCTAGACATGGCACCCACACACGATGTGAAGAGGAGGCACACCCTCGTCGCCCTAGATCTGATGTCGGGCGACCGGCGACAAACTCCTCTTGCAGGGCTAGCGAGAGGGGATGGTGCAGCGCCCGACAGAGTGGGAGGAGGTGGGTTGACATTGGCCCATACCTAGGAAACTCTTGTCGCCATATGTGAGCACGCCTAAGCCGTCGATAAAGGCATCGTTATCCTTGCTCTACTGCCGTTAGGGATGGAGGGGGAGGCCAGCATCAACGGGTGGTGGGCAGCTGGCGGCGGTCGACAGGATCTGGCACCCCGGACCTCCCCCCTAACGAGCCATAGGGAAGAGAATTGAGAAGGGGTTGGAGAGAAGATAAGTGCGGAGGACTCGCTAACATGTGGGTACCACCTACTGACTCATGGAGTCAACCCTGGTCAGTCTACCACGTCAATAAAACCGCTTCCCAAACCACCGAAGGAATCTATTTGCATCGGTTTCGAAGATGGGAGAGGCATCATACCCGATTTTGCGGTTGAAGAAAACAATTCAATCAGGAGTAAGAGATAAAGGAAGCAAAATAAGCTTATTCTAATTTTTTCTCTAAAATGATGATTTTCTCTAAAATGATGGTGACTTAACCATGGGCCGGCTTACTCCATAAAAGGCTGGATTATTAGCCCAAACTATCGTAACCCTGTTCACGGGCCTCATGTCTGGCTCAGTCCTGAGAGCCTACCAGTTTGTAACCGTACTATATGTCCTGGGCCCTAACCATTCCCAGGACTGCACGACAAGCAGAAAGGCTGGAGTTGCCAGGCAAAATCTCTCATGTCCCATCCAATAGCATTGATTCCCACAATTCGTACAAGTACAGGCGTACAGATGCAGTACACGGCCGGAGTCCCAGAGATCCTTCAAGTTTGTGTCCGGTGTTCTTTCTCCCGAACGATTGCACACATCAATGGCGGCAGCCGTCGTAACTCGTACGTCGACTCCTCGTCTTGCCGCCGTGAAGTCATCGGCTCGTAAATGCGGTGAGAGCGCGGGTAGAGTACACCATGTCACTGCCAGGTGGTGAGACTATCTGATTTGTCCATCGCAACGTCATGTGTGAGCTTTTCACAAGCGTTAGGTAGCCAAGTGAGTGTAACTGATTAGGGCCGAGTTTAGTTCCAAACTTTTTCTTTAAACTTTCAACTTTTTTATCACATAAATTTTTAGCTTTTCTATTATATTGTTCCAATTTCAATCAAATCTCCAACTTTGACGTGAACTAAACACACGCTAGGCTACTCGTGGTAGAATCAGTCCGCTCGGATTTTAAGTTTATCGTCAGATAGCTATGAGTTTAGCCCACATGATTCACATTGTTAAAATTTCGTAGTGATTTTTTTTTACTCTAATGAAAGTATACCTTCTCGTTGAATGCGTTGTAGGTTGAATGGATCCTGAACTGCTAAACAGTACTCCACCATCTTTGGGAAAACTTTATACATGTAATTTTTTCAAAATAGTTAAATCTGCTTTTTAACTTTGTAGTTAATTAACTTGTTTATACCCTTGAATAATATCACAAATTCATTCATATGTTGAATCATTCAGCACAGAAGAACACACCGGCGGAATGGTTAGAACTTTGGTTTTTTTTATGGCGATTGATTTGCTATGCAATGCTCAAATTCACAAGCTAGAGGGACTCTAAGTTACACTTGCCATTGCAATTTGCAGTTTTGTCTACAGGGATGTCTAAATTTCGTGTTTATCTGTACAAATTACGGCACAAACTGGAACAAATACCTCAAGTCGAAAATCAAAAACCTCGAGAAAAGGCATACACCAAAAAAAGGCAAAAAAAAGTCGGAAGAAATGAACCAATTTGAGAACGTTTTACTAGCAGACGGGGCATCTCACTAGCCCGTTCTCGTTGCACTCGGGGCACCTCCTGAACGCGCCGCCGTCCTCGTCGTCGTCGACGAACACCTTGCAGCTGCCGGAGCACGCGTCGCACGGCACGAACCGCACCCCGCCGCAGCCGCCGCACGGCTCCGACGGCGGCGCGAGCTGGCGCCCTCCCTTGCCCACGGCGGCGACGGCGGCCGCCGCCGTGTCGCAGGCCTTGAGGAGGGTGCCCGTCAGCTCCCCGGACTCGTGCATGCGGCGGACGTCCTCGGCGCCGCCCACGTGGCAGCCGTCGACGAACACCTGCGGGAGCGGCCTGCCTTGCCCGGGCACGCCGCCGCCTCCGCCGGCGCCGTCGCCGAGCGCGGCACGGAGCTCGTCCTTGTAGCCGGCGTGCAGCGACAGGTCGCGCTCGTCGACGCGCACGCCGTAGCTGCGGAGGATGGAGGCCGTGGCGCAGCAGTCCTCGTACGTCTGGCGGATGCCGCGGAGGCTGGTGAGGTACACCACGACCCGCCGCGCGCTCTCCGGCGGCGGCGGCGGCGGCGCCTTCTTGGCCAGCTTCGCGTCGATCTCTTTCTGGAACAAGATGATCCGCGCGCGCACCACGCCGGGGAACTTCTGGATTTCACCCTTCTTGTTGTCGTCGTCGTCGGCGGCGGCGGCGGCATCCCGAGGAGGTGACTCCGGCGGCAGCTCCTCGACCGCCTTCCTGAAGGCCGCCAGGACGTCGGGATCGAACGCCGGCGATCCGGGCGCCGACTTCACTTGCCGCTCCCCGCCATGGCCATCCACCACCACCTCCTCCTCCTCCTCCTCCTCCTCGTCGTCGTAATCGAGCCCAGCCATGAGCTCCCACACATTAATCTCCTCGGGCGCACGCAGCGGCGTCTTGGTCGGCGTCCGCGGCGGCGCCCGCCTGCACCTCTTCTCCTGCCCCACCGTCGCCGACGTATACCCCACACCACCACCACCACCGCCCTTCACCAACATCACCCCGTCCCCGACGCCGGCGGCGAAGGAGACCGCCGCCGACCTCACCGCGACGGATCGCCGCGAGGAGCACATCCGCCTCTCCGCCGCCGCCGCCGCCGCCGCCGGCACCCCTCCGTGCAGCGCGTGCTTCGACCCCTTGCACCCCATCCGCCACAACAAAATGGAAAAAAACGTAACAAGAGAGCAAAAATACGGCTCAAAAAACTGTGTTTCTGCAGCAGACGACTCGGGACGAGGCGCGCGAGCGAAACCGGCACCACCAAACGGGAGGAAAAAAAAACGATCGTTGGACAGCGGCGAGATCGGTGGTGGTGGTGGTGGAAAACGCATAAAAGAGAGGGAGGCGGCGGCGGGTGGTGGTGGTCGCGGGTACGGGGCCGTGCGCGACGAAAAAATGGGGGAGGGGGGGGGGGGGGGATCACCGATCACGTATGTTGCCGTGGGAGTGTGGAATTAATCCTCGCAGTAGTACAGGGCTGTACAGCACGAGTGACCCTCCTGGGATTCAGAAATGTCGCGGCAGCAAATGGCGACGGGTTGGATTGGGTTGGCCCCGCCCGTGCGGTCTCCGGGCACTTAGATCATGCTAATAGATAGTATGGGCTCGTTTGGTTTGATATCAATTTAGTGTGCTTCTAAAATTTTTGGTAAGTTCAATAGTAGCATGCGCATATGTGGTTTGTTACCAAATTTTGCTTACAATAGTTCAAATTCAACACTACCTGATTGATTTGGTAGTGCCAAAACTTACCAATATTTTAGCACTATCAAGATTTTAGTAGAGCAAAAATTGACTCCGATCCAAACAAGCCCTATATACGGCCATGTCGTGGCCAAACACCATTTACACACAGTATAAACGCGAACGCTCGTATACACACACATGTTTAAAATTTAGAATAGTATATCTTGAGATTGATTTAGTCACATAGGATTATTTATCTTGAGTTAAGAAATATTAGAATATTGATGCCAGGCAACAAACGGTGGCAATACTTTGATACTTTTTCTCATGCATGAACAGTAATTCTACTACAGTACTTTGGTATGTTGATGGCGTGGCAACATGCCCATTTTTTAAAATACGTTTTTTTTAAAAAAACTCTTGCAAAATGTAAAGAAAAACTATTCTTGGTTGGTTGGAACTTGGAATGTTTTGATTTAATGTCAAAAATTAGTAATGTCGTTATTGGTGATAGCTTGGTGGCATAATTAGGCTTTGTGCCCTGGGGTTTGATCCACTCTACCATTTGCGGAACAATCAAGCGGCGATGTGCACGCCTTAACGGCAAGGTGTGTCTTTGAAATGTTTAACGGTTAATTTCACGATCTTAATTATTTACAGATAACATCAGGAAGCTCGACAGGGTGTGAAAACTACCTGACCATTTTGAATTTTTAACGGTTATGCATGGGGGAAAAATAGATGTGGCAGCAGACTTTCTGCAATGCTTCTCTGAAACTCCCTCCGTCCAAAAAAAAAAGAGAAACCCTGGTTTCCGTGTCCAACGTTTGACCATTCGTCTTATTTAAAAAAATTACGAAAAAAATAAAAAAGACAAGTCACGCATAAAATATTAACCATATTTTATCATCTAACAATAATGATAACAACTATGAAAATACGAATTATAAAAAAATTTCATATAAGACGGACAGTCAAAGTTGGATACGAAAACCCAGGGTTTCCTTTTCTTGGGACGGAGGGAGTACGTTCCAACATCTAGAATCAAAATTCAACTGGCACCGGCAAAGACACGGCCAAACTTTAGTTAAAAAAAAGGAAAGCGATCTAAGCTAGTCCGACCTTTGTTCAACATATCGCGACAGTTCTTTTGTCCAAACCCAGATATGCCATTCAGAACTTTGCCCTGTTTTACTTCGAATGCATCGTCAGGGCTGGACCAATTCGAATCACCTTTCACGGTCGGTAGCTGACAACACAAATTTAACAGTTCGATAAAGGCAAATCAAGTTTTTAAGGCAACGTAAAAAATAAATTACAATAAAAACAATCTCAAGATCAACTCTCAAATCAAGTTATGGTTAATAAGCCTAAAGGCAAATGATAACGATGAGATACTGTGATTTCTTCATTGGTACGAGGTTAAAATGTTAGGCTGATTCAAGTTTGTATGAACCACAGTTCGATGTTTTAATTCTACTGTTGGGTTTTGGATCGCTAGGAGTATAATTGTAGAAGTCTCTTTTTAAAATTATTTTTTGTTACATCAGTTCGCACTAAAAAATTATCTTACGAGACCGTCATTGTCGACTCGAAGAGAGTAGGCAGGCGTCAGATGCTCAGATTGTGAGTGCAATACACGTACAAGTGGCTACCGGGCTTCTCAGCAGCCGGTGGCTGGCTAGTCTCTTCTTGCTTGGATCGATAATCATCCAGTGCAAAATCTTTCTCTGCTCAATGCATCTCAAACATTAAAAATGTGATTGGCTTCGCTCTTAAATTACATCGCTGTTGCTTGTTTATCAGAAAGAGGGATGAGTAATTAATCGCATAAATAAAGAAACAGAGAGAGAGAGACGAGAGATAGACGCGTATTTTCGAAAGAACGTAAAGGGAGCAAGAGATGCGTACTTACTACTGTGTTGTATTAGTCATGGTGTGTTCTAACAGCTTATAAATGACGACACGGAATTCTTACACGCTAGCTGTCAGTGGCAGGACGACGCGATGGACATGGATCTGCACGGTTTGATCTGTTTTCATCCTTGTCGGAATTGGGTTAGGAGAGTATCCATGCATGAGATTGGACCAATCGTAGTTGGTTAAACTAAACCTGTCGTTAGTTCATCACGGAATTGGGTGCAGGTACGTGCAGCATGCAACGTGGCCTGACATTGTGGTCTTGTGAGATACATTGTTACGGGCTGTTCAGATTGATATCATTTTCAACCATATCATTTTTTTAAGTATAATTATTAAAAATGTGTCTACATTACATTTAGTTTGTTGTCCGACTTTAGTAAATACATAAGAAATCCGATCAATATTTTGATATATTGTCAACTTGTCAAAATTTTGGCAATAACAAAATTTGGTAAGGTTTATTTTGTTTATAATTTGAATAGACTCTTAATAACCAAATTATTAGAGAATCTATACTACATTCGACAGAAAATCACCTCTAAAATCTGTCAAATATTACTCTTAATATAATTATATGGGTATAAACCTATTGATCTTGCGACTGATTTAGGGTTTAGGGTTTAGGGTTTAGGGTTTAGGGTTTAAATAAAATAAAAAAAGACAAACATGTAAAAAAACCATAAATAGAGAAAAAACTATTCTAAATTCTAATTTCGATGTACTATAACTTAGTTTAAATGCAATGATATGCAACTGGGTGTAACTGTAAGTTGGATATATAATAACATGAATCTTAATGCAAGATTAAGATATGAGCGATAATAAGAACATGAATTTTATACAAGACTAGAAAAAATGCTCTTACGTTGCAATGGGTGAAAGCTATTTTAATCTTATTATTGTTATATTGTTTAGTTAAGGTAAAATTCACTGTGGCAATTCGTTTAGATGTATTATTTTTTTAAAAAAAGTCATGAGCTGCACTTAAGAGTCTGATCGTCTTAAATTAGCATTCGAGTTTTTTTTAAGATTTCTTATACGACTTCTTCTGTATTTCCAAAAACAAACGAACTTAAAAATCGACTCAAATACAGACATGTATTTTCAAATACGAACGAACTTGAAAACCGACTCATAAACAGATGACGTATCAAAGTACCGGTAAAAACATCTTCAATTTTTATAATAGTAGAGATTAAAATAGAAGCCCAAAAATCTGTCACAATTGAAATAACAAAACCGTAAAACATAGCAACTCAAAGATTATTATCTCGAATTGTTACTAAAATAAATATCTAAATAACACGGTTGAACAAACATGATAATAACCCGATAAAGTAGCAAAGAACACAGCTACGTCAGCTGCTCAAAAGTCGTAGGGAGTGGGGAAAGAACAGATGTAGGCAAGGAAGCAGAGCACGAGAGACGACGGCAGCAAGCGACCCGAAAGTCGTTGGCCGGATTCGACTGGGTGGTGTGGTGGCTGGCACGCATGACGGACGGCACGAGTCCGGGCGGTTAGGCCGGCTGAATTACGGAGGTTCGATGGATCATCCGGCGAACGTGTTGGTCGGCACGTTCTCACCGTTCTTGTTCCGTTTCCTTGGGTCATCTCGGATGACATGCAGGGGTGATGCTAGAACAAATTAGAGACGATGCCAGTCGCCGATATAAGTGTTTATTGAGAGGGGTGTATCCATGATAAAAATAAATAAAGTATAAAAACAAATTTCTTGACCGAATTTGTAGACACCTCTTCGTATACTCTAGCTAGCTCTGGCCCTGTTGACATGCATGGGGCGTGTGTGACGTTGAATGATAGGAGTAGCTGCGTGCAAATGGGAATCTTGATCGTCGGATTAGATTGCAAGGATGTCGGAAACATTGTTATCTGGAGTATTAGTTTTTTGGTGAGGAAGTATTTTTAATCCTAACAAGTACTATATGTGAGAGCATACATGGTGGTGGTGTGTGCGTCAGTGCGTGTACAATCATGAGTACTTTTTTTTAAGGGAAACATTGATTATGTCTAGAAAATCTGGTAACTCACGATGGTTTTGATTCTCATCCTATCAAATTGTTGCACTGACAGTGTCACCTCTCGAGCAGGTTTTAGCATTACTAAATTTTCTCAACTCTGATGAATTGGTATTGATTGACTTCAGTGCAAATAACTGGCAACTACTATTAAAAGTTCAATACTACCAAATACTTCTTCTGTTTTCAAATATGAGCATATCTAAGAATTTGTACGTAATATAAAAATTTCCGGGACACCGCTTCACGCTGGAATATAAGGATTTTCAGCTAATCATGTGTTTAGGAGTGAAATCCACGTAATTTAAAATCTGGCCAGTAAGATACTTAAAAGGAATCTTCCCACATATCTCTAATCTTTACTTAAACAACAAAAAAGATGCTTATACTGCATTTAGGAATACTATCAGAGCGAGGATTTAATTCAAACTGACCCTTCAAAGATCATACCCATCTAAGAAAGCTGCGTTTGGAGGTGGATGTTGTGAACTTCACTTCCCCACACGCAAAATGAAAAACGATCTATTATCACATGATTAATTAAGCATTAATTAAAATAAAATTAAAAAATAAATTAATATGGTTTTTAAAGCAACTTTTCTATAGATATTTTTGGTAAAAAGTAGACAATTTAGTAGTCCCTCTGTTTTTTAATAGATGACGCCGTTGACTTTTTCTCACATGTTTGACCATTCGTCTTATTCAAAAAATTTATGCAAATGTATAAGATATAAATCACACTTAAGATACTATG